TGTGTTAATTATTGAAACTGTCCTACCAATTTGGTTTGAAACTGTCTCATTGCTATTTGTTTCTCAATAAAATTATGGGAAAAAATTAAAATAAAATAAAAAAGGGCCAGGAGATGGAGAACTCTCTTCTCCTAACCTCAAAAAAAAAAAAAAAAAAAAAGTAAGAATTACAAATCTGGACTGCAAAAATATAAAAACATTCACAAAGCTTTTCACACATGACACAAAATCCTCCCTTCATGCAGTAACAATCACTACAATTAAGCTCCATTTTTCTACCTTAAACTTTTGGATAAGGTCTGTCTACTAACCTGTTTTAGTTTGGTTGCCCTTTGATAGATATCAGAGTACCTGACCCATGACTGAAATTGCAAGGCCTCTTACCACACAGGGCAGAAGGAAAAAGGCTTCCTGATCCATCCTTGAAGCATCAAGTCACATGTAGAATGACTTACTCAATTTATAACACTAAAAACTCATGAGCAGCACTTACCAGGTGCCTGAACATAAAACAAATGAGTTCTTGACTTTCAGATAAAATAGAGACTTTAATAGATGTTTAATTAAAGATATTTTATTCATTGATGTGCTGTTTAGCCACATACACAAAGTTAATCTCAACTATATGTGAAAAGAAAAGTAAGGTACACGTGAAGAAATTTGTCTTACTAGCCTGGTCATTTGCTAGTCCTCAAATAATGCTGCAATTTACATTTAGAATTATTTAAAAATAAACCACTTTATCAGATGTCATATAATAGTCTTTTATGTATACTTGGAGTATAGTCTGAATACTAGACAAAAACTGTCAGTTCAAAAATTCCCTCTTGAGTTTGTTTCTGATATCCTAAAATGTCATCATTAGTCATTATGTATCAGAGGCATACAAGATAATAGTAATAATATCTATTAATTATAATAATAGTAATAATATCTATTAATATCTATCAATTATCGTATCAATTAATTATAATTAAATTCATATTATCTATTAATTATTCTCTATTAATTATAATTATAATATTATAATATCTATTATTATAATCTATTAATTATAATTATTATAGCATACTATGTATTCTCTAATGACTGTACTAAGCCATTTAAATACATTACCCATGAACTATTCAACAAAGAACATTATACTATCAAATTCACATACCATAAAGGAATCTAAGATTCAGAGCGACTGAGCCACTAACACAAGATTATATGGAAAGTAATATTTATAAAATCCTACTTTTATCAAAATACCATACCCATTCAATATGGTCTCTACAAGAATGACCACACCACAGTCCCTGGGACATATAGCAGAAAATACTTCACAGATTCATTACACTCTTTCTGATATGCTAATGAATAGTTTCCAATAAGAGTCCTCTCTCACCAAATGTGGATGAAATGAAAGATGGAGCCATTCCCTGAAGCCTGCTTCAGACTAACTAATAATCAAATTAAGAAAGAACCCTGAACTTCCCTGGGTTGTAGCTGGTACTGAGTGCATGGCAAAGGGAATGGTACTCATCCCTGGGAGAAAGCACTGAAAGGGGGTAGCTAGTTCCTGACTCCACATGGAGCCAACATCAATTTAATTTGGGCTTATGTCACCACAAAGACAATATAAGACATGCACTTCTCCCCTGAGCCTTCAAAGTTGCGAGCTAACTCCAGTCAGGAATGACAGCACATTCAGAAAAATGAAATGACATTACAGTGATTCTCCTCTGAACATCATGAAATCTGGAAATGGAATTGGGAAAAGTCACCACAATAGGATATAGCATTTTTGTCATTTGTGCCTCACAGAGTTAAATATTGTAGGTGGACGAAAAGAAAACAAAACTTTTCCTTACCTGACTGAACCACCTGTACCGTCTTTGTCCAAGATCCGAGTGGAAAAGCATGGAGCAAGCAGGTATACGTGCCCACATCAGCTTCAGAGGCATTAGTAAAGGAAAGGCTCATGTCATTGCCAGTCATTGTTGAGTTTAAAAAGTGAACCCTATTTTCATAGGGTTTCTTTATTGCCAAACCAAACTTGGGGTTGAATACAGCCATGGACTCTTTCTCCTCACCCATGGTCTTCAACCACTCTGCCTGGGTTAAATTTCCCATCAAGGGATACACACATTCTAGAGTCATATTCTCTGCAAGCCTGACAGTTGTGTCAAAAAATGTCTCTTCACATAGAGCTGAAACACACAACAGCACACAACTCAGTTAGACTTGATGATGGAAACAATAAGTATCTTAAGGTAACACCATAGTACATCAACATCGTAGTGAAGACTCAGTTTTTCTCTGCTGATAATTAGCATTTGAGTAACTTCAAGTTTTTCTGATCAAGAGAGACCTTGTCTCAAAAATTTTCTGCATATTGCAGTAAGACCAAAAGCAGAGCTAACTTTTCAAACAAATTTGTAAGAGATTACCTTTGTAAATTCAAAGACCCAATCAGAAAATGGGCATTGTAAATGAATATACACTTCTCAGATGAAGAAATGCAAATGGCGAAGAAACATATTAAAAATATTCAACATCATTGGCCATTCTAGAGATACAAATTAAAACACTGACATACCATTTCACCTCAGAAAGAATGGCTATCATCAAAAAGTCAACCAATAACAAATGTTGGGAATGTGGGGGAAAAGGAACCCTTCTCCACGGCTGGTTGGGCATATAGACAGGTATAACCACTATGGAAATCAGTGTGGACATTCTTCCTAAAAGTAGGATTAGAGGTCCTGTTAAACCCGTAATTCCCCTTGTGGGTATTTTCCCAGAATAATTCAAAACATCATACTACAGCAATATATGTGCACCCATGTTTATAGAAGTGCAATTTGTCATAGCTAAATCTTGGAAACAACCACATGCCCATCAACCAAAGAATGGATAAAAAGAAAGATGTGGGTTTTTTTTATATACTGAAGTATTATTCAGATATAAAAGTATAAGCTTGAAGCTTTAAAAAAAAAAAGAAACTATTTCCTATAGGGTCTTGCTACACAGTTCAGATTTGTAGTATCCTCCTGTCTCAGCCTCCCCTGTACTAGGATTACAGGTGTACGCCACCATGCCTGTTTGGGGGCTGGTATGGTATGCCTGAGGCTCAAGGGCCATTACTGCATGGGATATGGGCATCGCACTCAGGTCCTTGTGCTTGCCAGGCAGGTGCTTATTCTACTGAGCTATCTCCCCAGCTCAAACTTGAGGCTTTTGTATATAAATGGATTGCAACAAGAGACCATACTCATAAGTAAAATAAATCAGACCCACACATGCAAACATCATATTTTCTCACTGATGAAAGAACCTGAAAGAGTCAATAAAATCTGAAAGGTACCATAGATACTGTGAAAGAGAAAGAACACGTTGGAAGGAAAAACCTGAGATGATGAAAAGGGCAAAAGAAAGCAAGAAGCAAGGGCAAATATGTGTTTATACGTGTATATACAGTATAGCTTGGATAATTATACTGATGATTTCCGCTAGTCTATTGAAAGGAGCAGTTAATACTTAATTTTTCCTCTTCTTTTAAATTTCTTATAACTTTTTAAACCAATTTTGCATGCTTATATCCGGTCATCTAAACAACTACTTTGAAGACAACATTATGTAATATAACAACAATTGTTTAATTTCTATTATTTTGTTTAGTCAAGTTCTGTATCATTCCTTTTTTACTATTTTTATTCTCTTTAAAAAATCAAAAACGATAAAAGAGTACCTAGGTATACTTGAAGAATAGCCAAAAGGAGAGCAAGGAAATCCATCTGCAGAAAACTTCCAGGAGCTGCTCTATTAAAAAAATAGTAACTTGTACAACACTACACATGCGCTGGCCTGGCACAATGCACCATTTCCTTCCTCCTTGATGCTATCAGCTGTGGCTTCCTTTTCTGAAGTGTGAACACAGGAAAAAGGTTTGAGTTGCCAAGGCGGGCTTGCTCTCACACGATGTGCAGTTTGATTACTTCTCTCTCAGAGGAAGAGCTTATTTTCAAGGTCTCATTTTCTGCAGAGATTCATCCATTCAATAAACACCTGCTGAGTGTCTTCTCCAGACGAAAACTCTGCTCTAAGCAAGGGGGATATGACAACACGTTAAAAAAAGTAAAATAATGCTGACCTCTTCCACCATGAAACTTACATTCTAGTAGGAGACAGAAACACAAATAATCAATAACTATATAAATATATACATTTATATAGGTGCATATGACTATATAAATATGTATAATAAGTTAAAGGTCTAAATCCATAAGGAAAAGTAAAGCAGGAAATCAAGCCGAGGGAGGGGTTCATTGCATCCCTTTTGGACAGGAGCTCCAGGGTGTCTCTACTGAGAACTTGAAAGCAGAGCAGAGACTGAAAGTCAGTGGCAGGCACCAGGTGGCTTTGGAGATGGCATCTCTGCCCTAAACTGTTGCTGCCTTGAGCTGGTCTGCATCTAACACCTTATTCAGCTCAAAGGTTTACATCGGTGATGACGAACAGACAAGGGAAGGGTGTCCAAATACAGAGAACAGTGGCCAGGAGCTGCAAAATAGACCACCATGCTTCAGGGTCCCCCCCGCCAACTTTTTATTTTAAAATAAATATAGAGTCAAAAGCAGTTACAAGTTCCTTGAGGTCCTGTGCACCCTTATGACTTCTCCTATGAAAAGAACACAGAGCAACAGAATAGTACAACTGGACATATATAAGAATAAGTTCATATTTTTGAAAGCTATTTGTTCACTGTAGAAAATGGACTGAATGGGAAAAAGTGAATATATATCTGCATTGAAAAAAGTGATCTCATCTATTAAGTCATAATTACAAGAGTTCTGCTTGACACCAAGAAAATGTTATAAAATCTGAGTTAAGTCAAGAGAGTAACTCCTCCTTACTGGCTTGCTTTGTACCTACTATGTCCTGCCTCGGCTCTTTGTCCCTAGCACACTCACACACATGCTAACGTGCGATTCATGCATGAGCGTGCCTCCACACACACGCGTGAAGCTGCACACACTCAGTCACAGAAAATACAAACACACTCATGCACGTTCATAGTCACATGCATTCTCACATGCTCACATTCCATACATGCATGTTTTCTCGTATGTTCACATGTACATGCACAACACATTCCTCACAAACATGCACATACTTACACTATATACATATGCACATTTTCACACACACACACACACACACACACACACATTACACCCAAAGGAATGATGTAAGAGAGAGAGCAGGGCCAACAAACCATGAAGTATTATTTAAAGTTTTACAGAAAAGTCTTCTAAGTTGGTATGGTTTCTCACCTGATATAGGAACAACAACAGATGCAGAACAGACAAACATACAGGTAAACATATGATTGTAATATTTATTTTAAGAAGAAAAATGAGGATGTGTTGGGATACTAGAGTAACCTGGGCTGACAGACAAGCAGTAACCTACTTTAGGCAGGGTGGTCAGGATAGGCTCCCCTGGAAATCGCCTGTGTGCTGGGGCCTGCAGGCTGAGGAAGCTGTCGACAGGTGCAAGGAGAAGCAACACAGGTAGGTAGGATAGCGGGGACATCACGCTGGAGATGCAGGAAGCTTTACAGGGTCCACAGTGGAGCAGTGGACAAGGTGCGAGAACAGGAAGTGGCAGCTCAGACTGTGTAGGGAGGTGGAGTGAGATTGCTTTTGCCCCTATAGACTTCCTAATATGACTCTATGAGCAATAAGAGTACCAGAATGATTTCAGTCACTAGGAAAATGTGAGCAATTAAAGCTCCGGATCTGATTTAAATTACTAGGAAGTAACTGAACATTGCTCATTTCCCTTCCATACCTGACTTTGTTTGAGTTCTCACTCCTCCCCACACCACAGGATATTGAGAATCTGAGCTGGCCCCTGCCTGCTATGACTGCCCTGAGAATTAGAAAAAGCAACCAAGGCCTGAAGTCACCCGATCAGAGAGAAGGGAATTATTTACACCTCACTTAAAAATCTTGTTTTCCTCCCTTCATGCACACAGGAAACAACGTTACCCCAGTTTCTGCAGTTGTCCATCCCAAAGGAAAATAGCATGAGAGTGACAGAGACGGGATTAACCTGAGGTCTCAGATGACAGCACTGCACTTCTGAAGCCATCAATTGTGGAGTTTGGGAATATTGTGTGATATAAGAAATTTCCATATTTTATAAACCACTCAAAAATATTCTGGAGGTTTGATCCCCAGGCCTGCTGTGCCAGCCCTGCCCCCAGGGCATGCTGAGCCGCTATTGAGACTGGGCGTGGTGGTGCACACCTGTAATCCCAGCTCTTGGGAGGCTGTAAACAGGTGGATCACTATGAGTCCAATTTAGTAGTGAGACCCTGAACACCCTGTAGATCCTTCCCTAAAATACAAAAAAAAAAAAAAAAAAAAAAAATTCTGTAATCTACATCTATATATGTCTCAATTGGTGCAATTATTCTGACTGCATGATGAAGATAAGATTGGAAAAGTTACTAAATGCTCAGGACACTATTACCATAAGGTAAGTTGGACTAGGACGGTTTCTAGAGACATGAAGATAAATGAATCCATTGCCAGAAGAGCATCTATTACCACCTAAATACGTAAGGGACACTTTTAATTCCTGAGTCATAGGCAGGGTCTAATCAGGAAAACAGACCCAATGATTGAATAAGGTGTAGTTCATAAGAGAAATCACTAGAAAAATTAACAGATAAGAGAAAAGAAAGCGAGAGAGAGAGAAAAAGAGAGAGAGAGACAGACAGAGAGACAGAGAGACAGTGGCAGCAATTAAAGAGGTACAAGAAAAATCAATTTCTGCTTTTAAGTGAGAGGATCCAGGAAGAGCCAGGACTGCCCATTAGGGTTAAGAATGGGTGCTTAGAGATACTGGAAAAGTCAAGAAATGAGTATATCATGGAAAGAAAACAAATGATAGAAAAGGAAACAGATGCTCAGAGAATTGACATGAAGTACACTAAAGGGAAACCCACAGCTAACGAGATACTCAGTGGGGAATGTCACCCTGGGATGAGGACCAAGACAAGACTATCTGCTTTCACTGATACTATTCATATTTAGTGAAGATTCATCCAGAGCATCAGGCAAGAAAGACATTGAAACCGTGAAAACTTGCAAAGGAAGAAGTAAAACTATTCCTATTCAGCTATGACATGATTTTGCATATTAAAAATTTTATTTATTTATTTATTTATTTATTTTTGTATTTTAGGAAAGGGTCTACAGGGTGTTCAGGGTCTCACTATTTATAAAAACTTTTAATATATACCAAAAACCAATAAATAAATTCAACAGTTACAGGATGGAAGATCAACACATGAAAATCTGTTATGTTCCTATATGCTTAATAACAACACACATTAGAAAAAAATTCCATTTATAATAATACTCAAAAGAATAAAATACCTAGGAATAAACTGAACCAAAGATGTGAAAGACTTCACATCAACAGTGAAAAAATATTGCTAAAAGAAATCAAGAGGATTTAATATGGATACAGTATGTATTTCCTAAATGCCTTAGACATTTTATGTTCATGAACTGGAAAATCTAACATTGTTAAGATTCCCGTGTTTTTGAGAGGAGCCTATACATTTGAGGTGATATGATACTTACCAACATTTCAATGCCCATTGTATTTAGAAATAGAAAAGCTGGTCCTTAAATTCATGTACCTTTGTAAAGGGTCATTAATAGCCAAAATAATCCTGAATATAAAAAGTTGGGCTACTGGACTCTTTTAGAATATTTTGCTGAGTTTACACACCTATAATATTAAATAATGGAACTTAGAAAAAATGGGGTATACAGATGAATGTCCATTTTGCATCTGTGTATTCAAAGTGGTTAGGATAGATACATAGTTGCATTCTCTTAATGAATAGAATGATTTGTTCTAATGGTGTTTGTAAATAGGATCTCAAGTCCGCATCTTGTATAGCAATTAACCACTAAGAAGAATATATGCAGTGTGTTATTTGTTGAATCTGTACTTCTGATTTGATTTGAAACTGTCTCATTGCTATCTGTTTATTAATAAAATCTTGAAAAAAAAAAGTTGGGGAATTCACCTTTGCTCATTTCAAAACATGATACAATTTTAATAATTGCAACAGTGCAGTACTAGCATTAGATAGACATAGAAATTAATGGAATATAGATGACAATGGAAAAAATAGATCTATACACCTATAGATATATAGTCAATTGGTCATCAACAAGGTGTCAAGACAATTCAATGGGGAAAAATAGTCATGTCTACAAATGTGCTAGGACAACTGGATAGGCACATGCAGAAGAATGAAGCTGAGTTCTTCTCACTCATCATATGCAAAATTTATCTGTAGATGGGTTGGCTTAAGTATAAGAGCAAACTCTACAAAAATCTTAGAAGAAAATGTAGACTAAATCTTGATGACTTGGGAATTTGTTATGGATTCATAGATATAACACATAAAGTATTGGCAAGAAAAGAAAAATCAGTTGGACTTCATCAAGATTACACTATTTGTGCATCAAAGGACAGTTTCAAGAAACTAAAATAACAATCTATACAATGGGAAAAAATACTTGCAAAACAAATATCTGATTAGGGCCTAAAATTCAGAATGGAAAAACTCTTGCATTTCAATAACAAAAACAAAGAACCAAAGTTAAAAATGAATAAAGTACTTGAGTAGACATTTCTACAAAGCAAATATACAAATGGACAGCAACCACATGAAATAATACTAATATCAGTAATTGTTAGGATAATATAAACTACTGGTATGGATATATATATCCATACAATTATCTTAGCTATATATAGCTAAGATAATTGTACTCTAATTTCTATTGGTTCACTGAAAGGAACAGTTAATGCTTAATGTTTTTACCAATTTGGCATGTTTATATCTGGGAACTCACTTAGGTGGGCATGAGGTGGGACAAAGCTATGGTCAACCAATGAGATTACAAACACTATTGCTCAGGTAAAATTGATTAAATCCAGTACCAAATAAGGAAGTGAGTCTCTTAGCAAGTGCTCATGAATACAGGACAGGGTATCTTC